TGGGTGTCTACTTGTTGACGCTGCTCAATAGTAAATCTCTTAGCGGGGTAAAAGTAGACGGTCGCTCATAAAAATTAGACGTTCGCCCACGGAAATGCGCCCAGGCACAATAGTAAATCAGGGTCTTAGTGTCTATGTTTAATCATGATATAGGCCTGTAACTGGCACATTGTGAGCTATTCTTCCCTTCTTTTAGAATAATCATTATATGAGCCTGCAGTGACTCCTCCCTCATTCCCAACCCCTCCTCTAGTGCATTCATATATCTACACATTTTAGGGACAAGAAGATGTGTAAATTTATTAAAGTATCCCACTGTGTATCCATCCAGTCCTGGGCTTTTACCTCTCGCCGTGTTCTTTAAGGCGAAGTTAATTTCCTCCGGGGTGATAGGTCTCTCAAGGGTCTCTAATTTTTCTTGTGCTAATTGTGGCAACTCCACCTCACTTAAATATTTCTACCTAATTCTTTTCTTTTCCTCTTCCATGTCCTTTTGATCACTACAGCTCACATCGTAGAGTTCACTATAATATTTTTGAAACCTATTATATCTAATAATATCTAATAATAGTTATCTTTTTATCTAATAATAACCTAATATCAGATGTAGCATACGCTATTTCTCCTTTCCCATCTCTAATTTGTTTCTATACAATTTTTGGATTTCTTGCTCTTTATCCTTTTCATTAAGTATTTTCCAGGTCTATTCCCCCATTGGTATCTTTCCTTTGAGACCCTATTAAATATTCTCCTCGACTCTTGTTCCATCAGATCTTTTAACTCATCTCTTTTAAGTATTATCTTCTGATATACATCTGTTCCATTCTTTTTTTTTTTTTATGTAGCTGTTCCAACTTATAAAGCTGTTCCATCACCATCTTTATTTTTTTTCTTCGTTCTTTCTTCTTTTATGTTCCTATTGATATCAATATTTGCCTAATGTAAACTTTATCTAAAAAAATTGTTCAATCTCCAGCCTGAAACTTTTCTCTGCTTCAGGATCCTGTATGAGCATTTCATTCAATCTCCATATAGTTGTTTTATCTTGCCCTCCTCCTACCTGTAATCTCATCGGGATGAGAGAAAGATCAGAAATGTACATGACCTCTATGTTGGAACTAGCCAATGACTCCAGCTGTTTATGCTCTATCATTATATAGTCCCAGTCTCGAATATGAACCATGCACATGAGAGAAGAATGTATAATCTCTTTCTCTTGGATGTTTCACTCTCCACACATCCACCAGTTGATATTCATATAATAAACGTTTCAATAATTTCAGTTTCCTACCCCCTGCTCTCTGTGTACATGATGACGCATCCAGCTGAGGATCCAAACACATTTTGAAATCTTCTGCCACTACCAGACTTCCCTTTTTAAATTCAGAGTTTCCTTAGCACCCCCTCTAAGAATATCACTGGGTTTTTGTTTGGGCAATAAGTATTAGTTAGTGTATATTACAATACTTGTGTCATGGAACCCTCCTCCGCGCAGCCGTGCGATGGTTCCAGATACTCTCTGGCCATGACGGTGCGAGTGCGCGGGAGTGTGTGGGCGTGCATGTGTGGGAGCGTGCGAGTGTGCGCATGCGCAGTAGCGTACATGTCACCGCAAGGCAGGCTATTTAAACCTGCAGTACAGTTTAGTCAATGCTTTCTGGTCTATAATGTTCTGCACTCCATAACCTGATTCTGTTACCTGTATCTGATCTGACCCTGACTAAGAAAGAACTCTGCCTGCACCAACCCCGGCTTATCCCTGACTATCCGCTTGCCTGCTCCCTTGTACTTGATTTGCTCATTTGATCCTGACCTGGCTTGTCTGACTCTGCTGCACCTACTTACCTGTATCTACACCTGGCCTGTATCCTGATTGCTGCCATACTTACCTGCTGCTGCACCCACGGTCCTGCACCCTAATCAACGCCATACTTACCTACTGCTGCACCCACGGTCCTGTACCTAGCCTGCTTCCTGGTTGCCGCCATACCTGCTTGCTGCCATATCCATGCTCCTGTGTCCATTCCCGGTCTGCATCCTGATTGTCGCCATACCTACCTTCTGCTGCACCCACGTTCCTGCATCCGCACCTGGCCTGCATCCAGAGCTCCTGCGTCTTCACCTGCCTGCAACCAGCTCCAGACCCACCCGGCACTCGTGCCACTCCTGGCTCTGCGCCCTCTGTTCCCACTATCAGAGGCACCGAGCACGAGTAGTAAGAGAACGCCTCCTCTCCACTTCAGGCTCCCCAACCAGGTACGTGACAGTACCAGAAGGCCATGTTAGAGCCTGAGAGAGAGGCCTCTCCTCTGGAAGAGATCTGCCAGCACATTGCGGCATTGACACAAGCCGTCAAGGACCCTCAAGAGGGTTATAACAGTCTAGAAAACCATTTTCAGACTTTATCTGCACCCACACCCTCTGCTAGCACCGCAGCGACATTTACTCCAACTGTCGCTCCAGGAGCCATGGTGAACCCTGCAGTGATGATGCTGCCCCCGGAACCTAGAGTTCCTACACCTGAAAGATTTTCTGGCAATTACCACAAATTTAGGGCCTTCTGCAACGCCTATGAACTTATTTTGCTTTGCAACCCCGTACCTTCTCTTTAGAGGCAACCAAGTGATCTCACTTCTCCAGGGCGAACCGCAAGCATGGGCCCACCATTTGCTGGAGAAGGAAGATGCCAAGCTGTCTTCCTTAAATCATTTCTTTGAAGCTATGGCGCAGCTCTATGATGATCCCCAGCGATCTGCGTCAGCAGAAGCCGCATTACACTCTCTTCAGCAGGGTCGCAGGGCAGCTGAGGACTATGTAACAGAATTCCGGCGTTGGAGCACCGATACAAATTGGAATGACGCTGCCCTACGATACCAGTTCCGCTTAGGCCTAGCCGAACCTTTTAAAGATGAGCTAGCTCGAATCAGGGTACCAAACACTTTGGAAGAGCTCATTAATCTAACTATCCAGATTGATCGCCGACTACACCCAATATTGATGAATCTGAACCCATGCAAATAGGGTTGCTATGAACCTCACTTGCCCCGGAGGAACGTCAACGCTGCCGATAGGGCAACCTATGCCTTTATTGCGGAGAACTGGGCCATTACGTACGGAACTGCCCTGCAAAGCTAAATAAGTCTCTGACCACCCTGCCCGCTTAACTATCAAATATCAACCCTGCTCATTTTACCATTTCCATCTCATTCCAGCTTTCGGGAAGAACCCTGCCAGTACCCGCTATCATTGATTCTGGGGCCTGCAGTTGCTTTATCGACGCAAGATCGCTGCCACCAACATGCGACGATCCCACAATTACGATGTCCACGAACGTGGCGTCAGACCCCAGCCCTTCTCACCAAACTTGTGACTGAAGGACTAGCCAATCTAAAACCGTGATGTCACGTGCGTAACAATGCCACACCCAGCTGCACCCTGCACAGTGATTTTCCAGCTAATGGACCACAGATCGATGTACCGGCAGCCTGAGCGATTGTTACTGGGTCAGATTAATTACGCAATTAACCCTTCACACTGCCACCACCTCCTTTTTTGTCAGAGAAAGAGGAAACTCTGCAATATCAGCTATAATACTATAATGATTGTTTAACACTCGGCCTGCTATGACCGTGTTATGCAGATGATTATTCCAAACACAGTGTCAGGGCTCCCGGGTATGACCAGAGGTGTGTGACTGACGCAGGGAAATGCAGACTTCAGATATGTTATAAACAATATAATTTATTAACACTAACAATACAAACATAAACGCAGTGCAATACTAAAACATAACACAGTGCAAACAAACCAAACCAACCACCTACAGATAACAGTACATACAATGCAAACGTCGTCAGGCAGGCCGGGTCAATATCAATCGGGCAGGTAGGTACAGGGGGAGCAAGCGGAGAATGGTCGGGGTCACAAGCCAGGTTCAGCAGGTAGCGGGCAGCGTGGTACAGAGGGTCAGGCAGAGGGATGGTCAGGAACGAGCCGGGGTCAGAGCAGGAGAAGTCAGCAGAGGTCCAGATCAGGCAGGGTCAGCAACAAGACAGGAACAGGAACAGGATGCAGGGCCCAGGAAAAACACACACCAAGGCAGAGTCTGCAGGTCTGGCCATCCCTTAAATACACCAGTATAAGCAGTTTCAGGTGTTTGGCTGGCTGCAAGGTTGAGTCTCTGATTGCTGGGAGCACCCGCTGGCCAGCCCTGGTACTGCAGCCCATAAGGCAGGTGAGTCCCACCATTGCTGGCCAGTCCATTCCTGACAGTACCCCCCCCCCCCTCAAGGAGCGGCCTCAGGACGCTTCAAACAGTCCTAGCTAGGCAAAATGTTCCACTGCCCGGGTCTGGTAACTGGCGGGATATCAAAGACTGGCACACCGGGCAGGACTCCGGGCAGAGGCCCATCGGGCAGCGGCACACCGGGCAGAGGCACACCGGGCAGAGGCACTCCGGGCAGTGGCACATCGGGCTGGACTCCGGGCAGAGGCACATCGGGCTGGACTCCGGGCAGAGGCACATCGGGCTGGACTCCGGGCAGAGGCACATCGGGCTGGACTCCGGGCAGAGGCACATCGGATCACCAGGCGGAGCAGCAGGCAGCGGGCCACCAGGCGGAGCAGCAGGCACCGGGCCCCCAGGCGGAGCAGCAGGCACCGGGCCCCCAGGCGGAGCAGCAGGCACCGGGCCCCCAGGCGGGGCGGGGCACCGGGCACCGGGCCCCAGGCGGGGTGATGGGCACCCAGGAGGGGCGACAGGCATCGGGCCCCCAGGCGGAGCGGCGGGCGCTGGACCCCCAGGCTGAGCGACAGGTTTCGGGCCCCCCAGGCGCGAGCGCGGCGGGCGCCGGACCCCCAGGCGGAGCGGCGGGCGCCGGACCCCCAGGCAGAGCGACAGGTCTCGGACCCCCAGGCGGAGCGGCGGGCGCTGGACCCCCAGGCGGAGCGACAGGTCTCGGGCCCCCAGGCGGAGCGGCGGGTGCCGGACCCCCAGGCGGAGCGACAGGTCTCGGGCCCCCAGGCGGAGCGGCGGGCGCCGGACCCCCAGGCGGAGCGACAGGCACCGAGTCACCAGGCACAACAGTGGGCTCCGAGTCAACTGGCATGATCGCTGGCACTGGGTCAGACATTGGATCGTCTGGCTGGACAGCGGGCATCGGGTCACCAGGCATCAGTCATTTGGCTCAACAGCGGGCACCGCGTCATCTGGCAAGGCAGTGGGCTCCGAGTCAACTGGCATGACTGCGGGCACTGGGTCAGACATTGGATCGTCTGGCTGGACAGCGGGCATCGGGTCACCAGGCATTAGGTCATTTGGCTCGACAGCGGGCACTGCGTCATCTGGCAAGGCAGTGGGCACCACGTCACCAGGCACGACAGTGGGCTCTGAGTCAATTGGCATGACAGCGGGCACCAGGTCATCAGGTACCGGATTGTCTGGCTCGACAGCGGGTATCGGGTCACCAGGTATGACAGCGGGCACTGGGTCACCAGGCATCAGGTCATTTGGCTCGCCAGCGGGCACCGCGTCATCTGGCAAGGCAGTGGGCACCGAGTCACCAGGCACGACAGCGGGCTCTGAGTCAATTGGCACGACAGCGGGCACCGGATCAGGTACCGGATCGTCTGGATCAACAGCGGGCATCGAGTCAACTGGCCTAATAGGATCATCAGGCTGGATCAGTTCATCAGGCTGGGTAGAGGCATCAGGCTGAGTGGAGGCATCAGGCTGAGTGGAGGCATCAGGCTGAGTGGAGGCATCAGGCTGGGTACAGACCTCAGGCTGAAGTGCGGGTGCCAAGGCACCAGGCTGAACCACGGAAGGCAGGTTCTCAGACGGCAGGCTCACCGGTTTGGATACTGGCAGGATGGTATTGGTTGGAAAGAATTTTCGCTTTTTTCTGGTTTTAACTACTGGAGCACTGCAAGTAAACGCAGGTCTGCAAACGAATGGAGCAGCTGGAGACAGAGAAGAGCTGGAGGATGGAACAGGGGAGGGAACAGTTGCTACAGAGGGCTTTTTTACAGGGTTAACCTTCGTCTTGTGTTAGGGTCGGCACCGACCAGTTTTTAGGTTTTAAATGCATAAAATAACCATAAAATTTGTTTATTGCATCAAGGCTTTGACTTTGTCAGGAACCTCTATTTCAACAAAATTAAAAAAAAAATAGTTTTCACTAAATTATAAAATGCTCAAGTTGAAATTATGACCTTTGTGTTGTTAGGGTCAGTTTCGACCCAGTTATAAAAATAAGATTATAAAGCAATAATTAGAGCCAAAACTGAAATCATAAGGTCACTGACAGCCAGCTCCTCTCCCAATCGGGAGCTTTAGGGGATTCTCATTTTGCCTTGTTTTTTCCAGTATACCTGCACAAAAACAAAACAAAGATGGGCATGTCCAGATGTGTGAGGCCAATTCAGTATAGAATTGGTGACTTGCAGAGGGCACATCTCCAATTTGTAGCATGCAAAAATGAGAAGATTTTCATAGAGCCAAGTTCTGGATAATATTTTTGGTGAAAATGAGGGAGAGGACACAGAGGAGCATAGTGATTTGGATGAGCAGGTTTCTGAGGAGGAAGACAATGTGGAGTATTATCCAGAAGACACAGGCACATCTGATGAGTCTGATGAGGAGGCCACCGGTGCTAAAGCTGCTCCCGCTGAAATATTCAAGTCCAAAATTGGTAAGATCTGTTGGAGCTCAGTTCCTCCTGATGTACATGGCAGGGCAGCTGTTGCAAATGTCATCAGAATGACCCCTGGAATCACAAGGTTTGCTGTGATGAGAGTCAGTGACAACAAGACATGTTTTGAGCTATTTATGCCATTGTCACTAAAAAGAGTCATCATTGCTATGACAAACCTTGAAGGAAAAAAAGTCCATGGCAGCATGTGGAAAGACATTGATGAGGAATACCTGGATGCCTATATTGGTGTTCTTCTTCTTGCTGGAGTGTACAGATCCTGCAGTGAGGCCACTGATAGTCTGTGTGACGCATGGACAGGCAGAAATATTTTATGGGCAACAATGTCACTTCAGACCTTTCAAATGATATCAAGAGTCCTCAGATTTGACAGATACCAGAGCAAGATCTAACAAGCTTGCCCCCATCAGGGATGTCTGGGAGAGATGGGTGCAGCTCCTTCCACTGATGTTCAACCCTGGGCCAGTGAGGAAAAGGTGACAGTGGGTGAACGTCTTGTCCCTTTCCGAGGAAAATGCCCCTTCCGGCAATACATGCCCAGTAAGTCAGGGAAGTACGGCATAAAAATCTATATTTTGTATATATTTATGTATGTATATATATATATATATCTGTTCTGTTTTTCATTTTGCGTTTTTACTAAAGTTCTATTGCTGAAAAAAAGAGACTTTTTTTGCCTTTTTGAAGTAATTATATATATATGGGTCGAAATTGACCCGTGACACCATAGATGTTACTATAGTTAATAATATTAAAATGAAAAAATAAACAAAACAAATTTATTTCAGAGATGTGTTCTAAATCCCCTCAGTAATAGTTAGGTGACATAACAACCTTTTATTTATTTTATATGATTCTCTTGAGGTTAATTTACATTGTTTTTTAATTGAAATCGAGGGGTATACTGACAAAAAAAAAAAGGCCCACGGGCCCACACCAAAAATATTAAAACCAATATTTTCATGGATAAGGAAGCCTAACAAGTTAGGAAGCCTCCAAGAGATGAGAAACAAATTGGATGATAGATAATTGCTTTTAGTGTATTTTACAGCTGATTTAAGACACAGGTCAAAACCGACCCGTTAACATAAGAGATGGTAACAGGAAATTAACACAAGAGGAAGGTTAAAGGCAGGATAGGTGCAGCGAGTGGGAACAGGGTACTGACATGCGGTAGATAGCAGGGCAGGAGGAGCTGTTGGGAATGCAGGAATAGAGCTTTGAGGAAATAGATTAGAAGCAGGACTGGGTTATTGTAAGCTGACTGAGGCTGGGTGCAACAAATCTGTCCATGTCTGCAGTATGGGTTGAACAAAGCTCAGCTTACACAAAGCCTGTCTGACCAAAGACTGCACTGCGTTTATACAATCCCTTAATACCTGTGGTGAACATGCAGAATAACGCTCCAAAAAGTAATCCACATCATCCTCTAATAACCATACCAGGGACTCTACCTGGTCGGCACTAAATGGCGGCAAAAATTCATCCCTGCATTCGGGGGTACCAGATGAAACCAACTCCGCACAAACCTGAATCAATGGCTGCACCTCAGAGAATTCTGTGCCCTGATCTACTAGAACATGAGCGAGCCGTATACATTCTAGCAGTTCATCCCTGGGATACTCCTTCAGAGTCTGATAAGCATACTCTCTGTCATCAAACACTAGCAGATATAAATACACAACCTCATCAAGATCCATCCTTCCCATCAACAAACCAAGATGGCTTCCCTGTGCAGCCACTTCTGGTCAGGATTGGCCTTGGTGTAATGTCAGGGCTCCCGGGTATGACCAGAGATGTGTGACTGACGCAGGGAAACGCAGACTTCAGATATGTTATAAACAATATAATTTATTAACACTAACAATACAAACATAAACGCAGTGCAATACTAAAACATAACACAGTGCAAAACAAACCAAACCAACCACCCACAGATAACAGTACATACAATGCAAGCGTCGTCAGGCAGGCCGGGTCAATATCAATCGGGCAGGTAGGTACAGGGGGAGCAAGCGGAGAATGGTCGGGGTCACAAGCCAGGTTCAGCAGGTAGCGGGCAGCGTGGTACAGAGGGTCAGGCAGAGGGATGGTCAGGAACGAGCGGGGTCAGAGCAGGAGAAGTCAGCAGAGGTCCAGATCAGGCAGGGTCAGCAACAAGACAGGAACAGGAACAGGATGCAGGGCCCAGGAAAAACACACACCAAGGCAGAGTCTGCAGGTCTGGCCATCCCTTAAATACACCAGTATAAGCAGTTTCAGGTGTTTGGCTGGCTGCAAGGTTGAGTCTCTGATTGCTGGGAGCACCCGCTGGCCAGCCCTGGTACTGCAGCCCATAAGGCAGGTGAGTCCCACCATTGCTGGCCAGTCCATTCCTGACACACAGTATCGTCTCTTCAGAGGCAGGAATTCGTAAATTGCACTACAGAGCTATAGAAACAGTTCAACACTTTCAGAAAGAAAGATTTATTACTAAAAGGTCATACGGGTGCAATACAAATATTTACAGAAAAAGATGTAACTAAGATATATATATAAATATACAGAGACCAACAGCACAGCAAAAGAGATAGAGAGAGGTGAAAGGGTTAAGGTACTTGCCAAAGTCCTGGGTTAGCAGATCCAAGTTTCAGAGCAAAAGGGCACGGGTCTCCCCAGGTGCTATTGATGTTAAAATGGGAGACGTCTTCAACTTTTCTTTCTTAGGCTGGACAGGCTATTTTGTAGTCCCCAGCAGGGGGTGGCTCTGAAGTCAAGGACCAATCTCTGCTTAGGGCGTGGAGATATGGGTGGATAAATGATCCACGCGGAGTAATATGGATTCAAAAATTACAGGCAATACTTTATTTGATCACATAGATCATAAGGAGGTTAAACATGAGCACGGTGAACATGTCAAACAAATAAAATCATGTTAAAAGCACTTAGCGTCTTCATTTCAGGGTAATTTAGGCAAGTAGGGTACCATATAAGGCAATATAGGGTAATGGTGAGGTTTAGATCCTAGGTTTCCATGAATTTCCAGCTTGTATTAAAGTGAACCATATATTCAGCAGATATGTTCCCAATATAAGTCAGGATGTGTAGAGTAGCCTCCTGGTATATGGAAGCTAGAACACAAAAATACACAATAAATGTATGAAAATATAGGAGCTGAATCACGTCCAAGCCTCACCAAGCCTCCCTCTACAGTAATTAGTGGACACTTTCATTACCTTCTCAGTTGTGAAACTGTCATACCCGCTTCTCAAATGTAGGGACTTCCTGGGTAGCCACCCCAAGTGAAACAAAGTCCACAGTACCAAATGATTCTGGGGATATATATAAAGATTATTGTATAGATCACAGGCATCAAGTAAAGCCCTGAAAGCAAAAAACAAAGTATGGGTATATTACCATCAATAGAGATCAAGAAGACTCCCGTCGACTTGAAATAAGATCAGGTCCTTGATGCTTGTTCAAAGGTGCATGCGGGGGTGGGAAGCCAGGTAGTCACAGTACGTAGATTCCAAACACATATATTGTGTATGTAGCAGGCTGTAAATACCTGAGTCTATATACCCACTGAAGGGTTTCCAAAAATTACTCAATCTAGGAAAATTGAAGCGGTTTGAATAGGATATGGCTTTGTCACAGCATACAATGCCTAAATAGGATAGCGTATAAGTATATATATATATATATATATTATCCTCTAAAGAGGATTTCCAAAAGATTCCCCGAGTATACAGGGTAGATTAAACCCGTATAGCATGCCCTCTTAGCTCCAGATATGCTCTATAAATCTACACAGCTGTAAGCTTAAATAACTTGCCACCGGTGGAAGGTATATTCCCCTAGGGGATTGCCGTTTGCGAACCGCTGCAGTAGTAGACTTATTGGTAGTTTTCAGAGGGCCTCGTGCCTTCCTAGCAAGGAGCTGTGACACCGCCGTTCCTTCCCACCTCGTGGGCGCCGCACCCTATGAAGACGCCGAGCGTAGTGACGTCATTACGTTGACGCGTTTCGTTCGCCAATCACCGCAGACTTCGTCAGAACTGGGAGGGGACTTCAATCCTTTGCCTTATATGGTGCACTAATTGCATACCAAAGAGTCCCCACCTCGCCATCTTGTGTTGAAAGAGTATCACTACATTCGAAAGATCCAAAGTAAATTAAAACACATATATTGAATTTAAATTGACTGCTGGCATATTACATATTACTGCCATATTACTCCGCGTGGATCATTTAGTAACCTTTTTTTAGGTAGGGGTGCTCTTGTCACACTACCATATTGTTTAGTATGCATTCTCTGGGTTTATGGATCCACACTTACATACTAAGTGAGTCGGAGATATGACTATGACACCAGTCATTGGTGTCATTCTAGGTGGCCTGTTTCTGCTTTATTTTTGTGACATACTCTCTTAAAGGTTCTTATAACCTGTTCTGCCACCTTGGAGGTTTTGATTTTGCTTAAACATCTGCACGGTGTACACTGACTGCTGGACAAATAATATTCTTTGACCAAATCCATAAGATAGGTTGTATTCCCCTTCCACTTTAGGGAAGGGAGAATATTAGGGGGGGAAATGGCCTATCAGATCAATGAGGAAATGGATGCTGAAATTAGATTTGCATTCACTAAGAATCTAGACCCCCAGGTAGAGAGAAACGAGGGAGACATCAAGACTAAGTTTAAATTACATAAGAAGCTAACTACCAAATATCTGAATAGAAAGTGGGATATTACATCCCTTGAATCGTATATAGAGAGAGGGATTGTTCCCAGGGGACTAAGGGAAAGAGTAATTCCAGCTGAACATCTTCACACCCCCAGATTTCTGGAAAGGTGGAAAGAGGTCTGTATAAAGCATGGTATAGAGATCATGCGACTAATTGTGGAAGAAGAGAAGGTTCAATTGAACGAACTCTCTAACGAAATTGATGAGAGTGCAAAATCACTTGATCCCCTGAAGAACGACCCTGAGTTTGATAAACATAATGACTTCCTTAGAAAAGAGATAGAGAAAATACAAAAAAATCTGAAATTTACGAAACAACAAAAATTCAGAAGAGATTTAGAGGACTGGGAGAAAGGCGAGATATTTGATCTAACAAATAGCAGAGGAAGGAGTCGATCAAAATGTAAAAAACATTTCTCTAGGAATAATAGACAATATTCGTCAATGAGCGAGGATGAAGATGAAATTAATAAGAGATCTGTCAGTTTTTTAGAGGAAAAAACGGCTGGCGAGAATCAGGGGATATTAAAACAGACAAACAAACAAGTAAATGGGACAAAGGAAGAAAGAAGTATCACAGTTGCCCTAAAACCACCCAATCAAAATCGAACCAGAAGCCACAAGAGGTAAAGATTAACCTAGAGGAGGGAACCAATGATCTTAAGGTAATAAATCTCTCCAAGTTTGCGTTGAAAAAAAGACATTATGATTTACTACGGAAAGGCCTGACCTTTTCTCCTACGGACAAAATGGACCTGTTTGAGGTCTATAAAGATCTAAATCTATTTCTGAGAAAGATCCTTTTAAGAATTCCATATCTATCTAGAGAAGAACTAAATCCCTGTGACCTTAACTCAGAGAGGGAACAACAGGCACTAAGTGATCTTATTAGTCTTCTTGAGGAGACTCCCATAAGTGGTGAGACTGGGGAGGTGGATGTCTCAAATAAGTGGAAAAGACACACTAGACTTAAAACTCCATCTAGAAGAATGCCTAATATTAGGGAAAATAAATGGCTAAGTACTTTTCTAGACCTAGTACATGATGACCTTGGAAAAATAGACTGGACAATGAGGAACACTGATAACCTGACTAAAGGTGAAAGAATAGCTCTTAGGCAACTTAAGAATGCTAAAAAATATTGTGATTAAAAAAGTGATAAAGGGGGAAATGTAGTATTACTAGAGAGTGTGGAATATGAAAAGGAGGTACTTAGACAGCAGAAGAGTCCGGATACATATCGTAAACTACATAATAATCCTTTCCCCAAACTCGTAGTTGCCCTAAATAAAAAAGTGGAACTGGCACGTGAAGCAAACTTACTAACTAAACAGGAATGTGACATGCTGACAATTGATGTCTATAACATCCCCACCTTCTATGTAATCCCAAAAATACATAAAAATCCTACTCAACCACCGGGACGCCCTATAGTATCTGCTATCGGTGGTCCGCTGGAACCAATAGGTAGATTTGTAGATGATCTAATTAAGGATCTGGTCTTGGAACTTAGATCCTATGTAAGGGATACGGGAGATGTACTGAAAAAGATTCTAAATGTAAAAGTAGCTAAGGGTGCACTTCTGGTGGGTATTGATGTGGAATCATTATATACCTCTATTCCACACGTCTGGGGACGGAGAGCTGTGGCCTATTTTTTGGAGACATATTTCCCTGAAATGGAGGCTCAAAATGAATTTATATTGGACTTGCTGGATTTCATGTTGACCCATAACTGTTTTCAGTTCCTGGGTTCCTTCTACCAGCAAATATGTGGTACCTCCATGGGAGCACCCTGGGCCCCAGCATTTGCATGCTTACATCTAGGCTTATGGGAAGAGGAGTTGGTCTATCCCTCCACTCCCTATAAGCAACATGCAATAAAATGGTTGCGATATATTGATGATGTCCTGATGGTTTGGGATGGAGGTATAGATGAGTTAAAAAAATTTATGGAATTCCTAAATGAGAATGATAGGAATATCAAACTTACCTATACAGCAGATAGAGAGGTAATAACATTTTTGGATTTATCAATCTCAATTTATGAAAATAAATTAGTCACTAAA